ACTGTTTGAATGACAGCTTGGTAAATCTGTTGGCAATCAAATATTCAATATCGCTACTTATCATAAGTACTTGGTACATTATCAGCGCAGCGGCAGACGTTCAAACTAATATCACGTAATTTACGTCTCTATGATGATTGGTTGATATACCAGAAGGGAGGATAGCCTCCCCAAAAGGTTTCTTTTCTCAACACTCCTCAGCGCTGAAAGTGAACACTCGATGCTGATTGGCTAATTTTTTTTACCAACGGAGGCACGAGAGCTCGCATCTCACCCGGCCTCCCCCTCCCCTTCTCTATCATTTAGCGGTTGTACTTAAAACAGCAGATTCGGCACATTCGCGATAGAAAAAGGCGCTTTCCAACTTCATTAACATGTTATGGTATTACATCTGTGAAATTACAAAAAAAAATACACATTCTGAGACATGAACTGAAATGAATTGTGAATTTTATTAGCATTTAATCGTCTTCCTCCCATTTTCACCTCAAAATTTTGGGGAAGTTGTGCCTCCCCTGCCTCCCCCGACAAGCCGCCACTGCATGCACGTAGTTTATTTCGCGCTTTGATATGAAAGGATACAGGCTACAGCGCGCGCCGGCGCCTTTGTGCGCGCAATTGAAGAGCACGCGCTGCGAGCACAGTACCGTTTCCGCGCTTGCTTGACTCGCGCCTGGCGCTGAAGTGAAGCTGGAGTGCCCGTCTGAAACGTCTCCCGTTCTCAGTCGTTCTGCGACTACTGAAATGCACTTCTTGTCAAGAGAAAAAGTGACAGAAGCAGCAGTTGTGAGTGGGGTGGCCAACCCTAGCCCCGCCCCTGCATTAAATATTTGTAACGCGTTAAACTGAAAAAATTATTGCGTTAACGCACTAAGTTTGACACCCCTAGTATTTATTTAACCTTAGTTTTTATAATGTGATGTATTTCTGAATTAAACAATTATAAGTAAAATCATTCATTCATTCATTCAAACATTAGTTTTTATAATGTGATATATTTCTGAATTAAACAATAAGTAAAATCATTCATTCATTCATTCAAACATTAGTTTTTATAATGTGATATATTTCTGAATTAAACAATAAGTAAAATCATTCATTCATTCATTCAAACATTAGTTTTTATAATGTGATATATTTCTGAATTAAACAATAAGTAAAATCATTCATTCATTCATTCAAACATTAGTTTTTATAATGTGATATATTTCTGAATTAAACAATAAGTAAAATCATTCATTCATTCATTCAAACATTAGTTTTTATAATGTGATATATTTCTGAATTAAACAATAAGTAAAATCATTCATTCATTCATTCAAACATTAGTTTTTATAATGTGATATATTTCTGAATTAAACAATAAGTAAAATCATTCATTCATTCATTCAAACATTAGTTTTTATAATGTGATATATTTCTGAATTAAACAATAAGTAAAATCATTCATTCATTCATTCAAACATTAGTTTTTATAATGTGATATATTTCTGAATTAAACAATAAGTAAAATCATTCATTCATTCATTCAAACATTAGTTTTTATAATGTGATATATTTCTGAATTAAACAATAAGTAAAATCATTCATTCATTCATTCAAACATTAGTTTTTATAATGTGATATATTTCTGAATTAAACAATAAGTAAAATCATTCATTCATTCATTCAAACATTAGTTTTTATAATGTGATATATTTCTGAATTAAACAATAAGTAAAATCATTCATTCATTCATTCAAACATTAGTTTTTATAATGTGATATATTTCTGAATTAAACAATAAGTAAAATCATTCATTCATTCATTCAAACATTAGTTTTTATAATGTGATATATTTCTGAATTAAACAATAAGTAAAATCATTCATTCATTCATTCAAACATTAGTTTTTATAATGTGATATATTTCTGAATTAAACAATAAGTAAAATCATTCATTCATTCATTCAAACATTAGTTTTTATAATGTGATATATTTCTGAATTAAACAATAAGTAAAATCATTCATTCATTCATTCAAACATTAGTTTTTATAATGTGATATATTTCTGAATTAAACAATAAGTAAAATCATTCATTCATTCATTCAAACATTAGTTTTTATAATGTGATATATTTCTGAATTAAACAATAAGTAAAATCATTCATTCATTCATTCAAACATTAGTTTTTATAATGTGATATATTTCTGAATTAAACAATAAGTAAAATCATTCATTCATTCATTCAAACATTAGTTTTTATAATGTGATATATTTCTGAATTAAACAATAAGTAAAATCATTCATTCATTCATTCAAACATTAGTTTTTATAATGTGATATATTTCTGAATTAAACAATAAGTAAAATCATTCATTCATTCATTCAAACATTAGTTTTTATAATGTGATATATTTCTGAATTAAACAATAAGTAAAATCATTCATTCATTCATTCAAACATTAGTTTTTATAATGTGATATATTTCTGAATTAAACAATAAGTAAAATCATTCATTCATTCATTCAAACATTAGTTTTTATAATGTGATATATTTCTGAATTAAACAATAAGTAAAATCATTCATTCATTCATTCAAACATTAGTTTTTATAATGTGATATATTTCTGAATTAAACAATAAGTAAAATCATTCATTCATTCATTCAAACATTAGTTTTTATAATGTGATATATTTCTGAATTAAACAATAAGTAAAATCATTCATTCATTCATTCAAACATTAGTTTTTATAATGTGATATATTTCTGAATTAAACAATAAGTAAAATCATTCATTCATTCATTCAAACATTAGTTTTTATAATGTGATATATTTCTGAATTAAACAATAAGTAAAATCATTCATTCATTCATTCAAACATTAGTTTTTATAATGTGATATATTTCTGAATTAAACAATAAGTAAAATCATTCATTCATTCATTCAAACATTAGTTTTTATAATGTGATATATTTCTGAATTAAACAATAAGTAAAATCATTCATTCATTCATTCAAACATTAGTTTTTATAATGTGATATATTTCTGAATTAAACAATAAGTAAAATCATTCATTCATTCATTCAAACATTAGTTTTTATAATGTGATATATTTCTGAATTAAACAATAAGTAAAATCATTCATTCATTCATTCAAACATTAGTTTTTATAATGTGATATATTTCTGAATTAAACAATAAGTAAAATCATTCATTCATTCATTCAAACATTAGTTTTTATAATGTGATATATTTCTGAATTAAACAATAAGTAAAATCATTCATTCATTCATTCAAACATTAGTTTTTATAATGTGATATATTTCTGAATTAAACAATAAGTAAAATCATTCATTCATTCATTCAAACATTAGTTTTTATAATGTGATATATTTCTGAATTAAACAATAAGTAAAATCATTCATTCATTCATTCAAACATTAGTTTTTATAATGTGATATATTTCTGAATTAAACAATAAGTAAAATCATTCATTCATTCATTCAAACATTAGTTTTTATAATGTGATATATTTCTGAATTAAACAATAAGTAAAATCATTCATTCATTCATTCAAACATTAGTTTTTATAATGTGATATATTTCTGAATTAAACAATAAGTAAAATCATTCATTCATTCATTCAAACATTAGTTTTTATAATGTGATATATTTCTGAATTAAACAATAAGTAAAATCATTCATTCATTCATTCAAACATTAGTTTTTATAATGTGATATATTTCTGAATTAAACAATAAGTAAAATCATTCATTCATTCATTCAAACATTAGTTTTTATAATGTGATATATTTCTGAATTAAACAATAAGTAAAATCATTCATTCATTCATTCAAACATTAGTTTTTATAATGTGATATATTTCTGAATTAAACAATAAGTAAAATCATTCATTCATTCATTCATTCAAACATTAGTTTTTATAATGTCATGTATTTCTGAGTTAAACAATTATAAGTAAATCATTCATTCATTCATTCAAACATTAGTTTTTATGATGTGATGTATTTCTGAATTAAACAATTATAAGTAAAATCATTCATTCATTCATTCATTCAAACATTCGTTTTTATAATGTGATGTATTTCTTAGTTAAACAATTATAAGTAAAATCATTCATTCATTCATTCAAACATTAGTTTTTATAATGTGATGTATTTATGAATTAAACAATAAGTAAAATCATTCATTCATTCATTCATTCAAACATTAGTTTTTATAATGTGATGTATTTCTGAATTGAACAATTATAAGAAAAATCTTATGTATGTGTATTTATTTATTTATTAACTTCAATTTTTGTATTGTGATGTATTTCTGAATTAAGCAATAATAATAAAGTGAAATCATGGAGATGGGACTTGATTTTATTTATTTTAATTGGATCTTTAAAAGCGGGCTGTAATATTATTGGTTTATACATATACAAATATTTTAGCATGGCTTTGAATACATCAGCAGAAGGAAAATTAATTTCAGAGAGTCAAAAAATGTGCTGTATTTTTTTAAATCATGAAAACAAACCACTTTACTATTTTTTAAATGAGTACACACTGATGAATTGCGCACCATTTGACCAGAGACATTTTTTAAGACGGTAAATAGGGTGAATTTGGATGTCATGTGTTTAGGTTTTTTTTAAACGGGTGCATACAAATGATTTTACTGATTAAAAGATTGAATACGTGTATCCAGGAATCAGCACAATCTAATGCTCCATGATATCTGTGTTGATTCAGGTGAAGCTGTGGCGCGTGTGTGATCCGGATCAGGATCAGTGCAGTAATGCTGAGGTGACTCTGAGCCCCGCTGACGGGCGTCTGGAGGTCGTCCTCTTCCACCCTGCGGCCTCAGGGCTGCTCGCCGTGGCGTCTGTGAGGGGCCTTCAGGTGTGGGACGTCACACGAGACGCCGCACTCACAGGTAAACACACACCAGTGCATTCAGACAGGCAACCATCACTGCCAGATTTAGTCTCGTCTTCAATTACCTTACTTTAAGTGTACACTTAAGCCCTATTCAGACGCTAATTGTTTTTCATGAGTTTGATGCATTTCTAGTTTTATTTATTTATTTATTTATTTGTTTAAAATGTATTTATTTAATGTATTTTTTCATCCATTTTTTTATTTTATTTATTCTTATCAATTTATTTTTAATTAATTTATTATGTATTTTTATTTGTTTTAATGTAGTTTTTAAAATTTACTTTAATTTATTTTTTATTTATTTTAAATGTATTTGTTTAAAAAGTATTTAATGTATTTTTAACTATTTTAACTAAATTTGTTTTATTTATTTTAATGTATTTTTAAAATGTACTTATTTTTATTTACTTTTTTTATGTACATTTTTATTTATTTTAAATATATTTTACATTTCGTAAATTTTCTTTATTTATTATTATTTTTAAATTTAATTTTATTTTAAATTTATTTCTATTTATTTCATTTATTATTATTATTACTATTTAGCTGAATTGAAATTTTTTTTTCCCCCTCACAAATATGAGCCAAATGACTTGCTGTTTTTTAACAAGCAACAAGATTGTGCTGTAAGTTAATTCACATTGTAGGTGCAAAAATCTATTTCAATATTTTTTTAAATGTTCAAATGGTGTCGTCCAATGACAGATCATCGTCTGAAGTATTGCGTAATGCTGAGGTGACTCTGAGCCCCGCTGACGGGCGTCTGGAGGTCGTCCTCTTCCACCCTGCGGCCTCAGGGCTGCTCGCCGTGGCGTCTGTGAGGGGCCTTCAGGTGTGGGACGTCACACGAGACGCCGCACTCACAGGTAAACACACACCAGTGCATTCAGACAGGCAACCATCACTGCCAGATTTAGTCTCGTCTTCAATTACCTTACTTTAAGTGTACACTTAAGCCCTATTCAGACGCTAATTGTTTTTCATGAGTTTGATGCATTTCTAGTTTTATTTATTTATTTATTTATTTGTTTAAAATGTATTTATTTAATGTATTTTTTCATCCATTTTTTTATTTTATTTATTCTTATCAATTTATTTTTAATTAATTTATTATGTATTTTTATTTGTTTTAATGTAGTTTTTAAAATTTACTTTAATTTATTTTTTATTTATTTTAAATGTATTTGTTTAAAAAGTATTTAATGTATTTTTAACTATTTTAACTAAATTTGTTTTATTTATTTTAATGTATTTTTAAAATGTACTTATTTTTATTTACTTTTTTTATGTACATTTTTATTTATTTTAAATATATTTTACATTTCGTAAATTTTCTTTATTTATTATTATTTTTAAATTTAATTTTATTTTAAATTTATTTCTATTTATTTCATTTATTATTATTATTACTATTTAGCTGAATTGAAATTTTTTTTTCCCCCTCACAAATATGAGCCAAATGACTTGCTGTTTTTTAACAAGCAACAAGATTGTGCTGTAAGTTAATTCACATTGTAGGTGCAAAAATCTATTTCAATATTTTTTTAAATGTTCAAATGGTGTCGTCCAATGACAGATCATCGTCTGAAGTATTGCGTTGTAATTGGAGTCTGAATAAGGCAGTTCATGAGGGTTTTGTCTGCGGCTTCTTTGTCTCCTCGATGAGTTTTTTGTTTGTTTTGTCTCTGTGTGATTGGTTTGATCTGCGAGCCTCTGGTGGTTTCCAGGGCTGTGTTTGTTACGGTCCTCTGGGGTCCAGCGTGGAGCGGCTGAGGTAAATGTTTGAGCTCAGGAGCCCCTCAGAGCTTCGGGCCGCGTGGCCCCGGAGCCCCATGATGGCTGCTGGTGCTGCTCAACCTCACATCTCTCTTCACTGTCTGCCTTCATCTGCTGTCATGCGCTTGAGTCCCTGTTAGCCGAGGCTCATTCACGCTGTCACTCCAAACAAAAACCAATCCAGCACCGCATAACTGGATCTCTGACAACATGGGAAATGTTACATTGGCAAATAACTGAAATAAAATGTTTTTATTCTATTTTATTCTATTAATGATTTTAATTTTAGTTAACTATGATAACTATAGAATTTATTTATCTATTTTTCCTCATAGTTTTGACAAAACAGAGATATCAAATAGAATAATTTATATATTATTTAAACATTACATAACTGGACTTCTGAGAAACTGAGAAATTGCATTGGCAAATAGCTGAAATAAAATAAAATACAATAAAATACTTAAACTTAAATACTGAAATATGTAAGTTAACATTTATTGTATTATTTGTATGCTGTTATATTAGTATTTTGACTAGGGCTGCACGATTATGACAAAAATCATAATTGTCGATTATTCCTTTGAAATTGTAATTGCGATTATTAATTTGCGATTAAATGAATGATGTTTACACCTTTGTTTGAAGCAACTGCATGCCATATTTTTATACTATAGAATTTATTTATCTATTTTTCCTCATAGTTTTGACAAAACAGAGATATCAAATAGAATTGAATAGAATAAATAAAACTAATAAACTATCAGTGTTATATTAGTATTATTTGCATACTATAATATTGTATACTATTTATTATTTATTAAAATAAATGTTTTAAAAAAAAATGTATTTGAGACAAATTTATTTATTATTTATTATTTAATTTTATATATATATAAATGTCAAATATACATCGGATTGGTTTCTTCTTTAAATTATAAAAAAGTAAAAATATGAATGGTATTATAATGTTATATTAAAACTAAAATTAAAACAATGGAAAAACACTTAAGATAACATGTAGAAAGAAAAAACACATCCTAAGCACGCAGAATAACATAAGTGGACTTTAAACGATTAATTGCCGCTTTGAACGATTACGTAATTGTGGCATCCGTAATTGTAATCGCGATTAGAAATTCGATTAATTGTGCAGCCCTAGTTTTGACTAAGCTCTTACTTTTTAGATTTTTATATAATTTTCTATTTAATTTTAGTTTAAGTTTTTAGTAATTTTATGTTTTTTTAAATTTTTAAATTTTTTAAATTTATTTTTTTTAAAATTCTCTAAAGTTTTTACTTTTATTTCAGTTTTAATGTTAGTCATTTTAGTACTTGAACTTATTTTGTTTCAGTTAGTTGCCAAGGCAAGATTTCTAAACACAATTTGCTAATTAGTTTGGTCTATAATTAGCTGATTGCTTTGTCTGAATGTCTAGTTTCACCTCAGCGGGTCTCTGAGATGTGTTTGGCGAGTCACATCAGCTTTTCTCCGCACACTGGATTCCCAGCACTGTCACGCTTCTCTGTGTGTCCTCATTGATATCATCGCATGTGTTTGCTGTCTGAGAGCTTGTAAACTTGTTCATCACATGGATGTGTGTGTGTGTGCAGTACTGGAGCAGCATGAGGATCAGCTGCAGGGTTTGGCCTGGAAGGAAGACGGATCCCTGCTGGCTTCATCCTGCAAGGTAAGTGCTCTCCACAGCAACATTTTACCAGCGTGAAACGAGTGATGATTTGTAGACAGCAGGAGAAATCAGTGCTAAATGCAGATAATAAAATGCAGCTGTAATTGTGAGTAGTTAGCATAGCTGTAAGCAGCAGAGAAAACTCCCCGCTTCTTCTGTTGTTGACCTTCTGTCAGAAGCGACCCGTTTTACCATGTTGTGAATATTTAGCATCGAAAGAATTGTTCAGTGTTATTAAGTATCATCCAGATACTATTATAGTTGTTATGAATATTTTGAATTACTTTTTATTTATTTTTCCATTTTTTAAAAATAATTTCTATTTTCATGTTAATTTTAGTTAAAGTATTAGTAGTTTTTTTTATTTTTACAAAATATTTCATAATATGTTTTAGTTGTTTTAATGCATCAAGTTCAACTAAATGAAAGTGGGAAATGTTGCTTTGGCAAATAAATAATAAATGAAATGTTTATTTAATTTCGAGTAACAAATTTATTATAATTTTTTAAATGTTTTTTTTTGTTTAGTTTTATTGTTTTAATTTTTATCTTTAACTGTAATAATTCTGTAATTTATTTCTTTTAGTTTTGGTCAAAACAGATGAATTGAGTAGAATAAATAAAGATAATAAACTGGTTAAAATCAGTGTTATTTTAGTATTATTTGTCTAGTATCATAGTGTTTATCAATATTTTGAATTAACTTTTATTTTTTATTTTCAGTTTTGAAGTTTTAGTGATTTTGTCATGAGCTTCTGTTTTTTTTATATTTCATATTTATTTTTAGTTTTTATTTCAGTTTTAGTTTAAGTAATTTTGGTACTTCAACTTAGTTAGTTGTCAGGGCTACACTTTTGTTTTTCATTTAATATTTATTTTTTTAATTTTATTTCAGCTTCAGTTTTTACAAAACAAAAACATGTTTAATAGTTTTAGTTTAGTTAGCAGTAACAACACTGGTTAAAATATGGTTTTCTCAGTGCATTTTCATACACGACAATATATTTGAACTGATTTAATGCCAGTGAACATCAGTTCTCATTACAGCTGTTGTTTTCACCTTGTGTTCATAATGTTAATATGTGATGGAAAATATTCAAAGTAACTGTAGGAGGCACACTTTTAGGAGTTTTCTGAAAAGCGTTTGCCTCCACAGACAGCAGTAGATGTCTCCAGAGCGTGTGTTTTCCCATCATGCTCAGTCCTGACTCGGATCGTCACACTGATTGGCTTTATTAGTGTAACACACATAAAGCTGCCGCTGTCACTGAGCTCTGCATCAGGATTAATGTCAGTGCATCTGGTTTGAGGAAGTTTATTGCATCTGGCCCCTGAAAATCTCGTTTAAGTCGTTTGCTTAAAGTTAATTACACATCAGTCTTATTTCATTATGGAGGACAAACAGTGTGTCAGACTGATCAGCGTCTGTGACTCATTTGAAAGGTCTTTTCTTCACGGCAGACGAGTTTCTGTTTTTGCACACAAAGGTTTGTGTTTGGCAGGAGCAGTGTTTTGATTGAGTTTATGGAAAGAGCTCAACTGGAGGGAGTCGTATTGTAATTTAGTGTGTGTGTGTGTGTTTGTGTTACTGTTTGAAATGCAAATTTGCTGGTGTTATTTTCCTACTGCAGTCATCTTATAAAAAGTATAATGCATTAATATAAATATTGTGATATTTATAATATTAATTTTTAGTGATTTTGTCATGTGCTTCTGTTTTTTTTATATTTCATATTTATTTTTAGTTTTTATTTCAGTTTTAGTTTAAGTAATTTTGGTACTTCAACTTAGTTAGTTGTCAGGGCTACACTTTTGTTTTTCATTTAATATTTATTTTTTTAATTTTATTTCAGCTTCAGTTTTTACAAAACAAAAACATGTTTAATAGTTTTAGTTTAGTTAGCAGTAACAACACTGGTTAAAATATGGTTTTCTCAGTGCATTTTCATACACGACAATATATTTGAACTGATTTAATGCCAGTGAACATCAGTTCTCATTACAGCTGTTGTTTTCACCTTGTGTTCATAATGTTAATATGTGATGGAAAATATTCAAAGTAACTGTAGGAGGCACACTTTTAGGAGTTTTCTGAAAAGCGTTTGCCTCCACAGACAGCAGTAGATGTCTCCAGAGCGTGTGTTTTCCCATCATGCTCAGTCCTGACTCGGATCGTCACACTGATTGGCTTTATTAGTGTAACACACATAAAGCTGCCGCTGTCACTGAGCTCTGCATCAGGATTAATGTCAGTGCATCTGGTTTGAGGAAGTTTATTGCATCTGGCCCCTGAAAATCTCGTTTAAGTCGTTTGCTTAAAGTTAATTACACATCAGTCTTATTTCATTATGGAGGACAAACAGTGTGTCAGACTGATCAGCGTCTGTGACTCATTTGAAAGGTCTTTTCTTCACGGCAGACGAGTTTCTGTTTTTGCACACAAAGGTTTGTGTTTGGCAGGAGCAGTGTTTTGATTGAGTTTATGGAAAGAGCTCAACTGGAGGGAGTCGTATTGTAATTTAGTGTGTGTGTGTGTGTTTGTGTTACTGTTTGAAATGCAAATTTGCTGGTGTTATTTTCCTACTGCAATCATCTTATAAAAAGTATAATGCATTAATATAAATATTGTGATATTTATAATATTAATAAAAAAAATTAAGAATTAATTAAATTCATATTTTTATTTTTATATTAATGTATTAAATTATTTTATTAACTTATATTTACATATTTTAAAAGTTAAAAATAATTTACAATAAACTATTAGTAGCAGTAATGATTTACAAATCAAATTCAGATGGATGTTTAACAAAGTAAAGTGTAATTACTGTTTGTTTGTTTACAATAATATTTTTTTTTTCTATTTGTTCTATTTATTTGTTATTTATTGAATTTAATTTATTTACGATACTGTTGTTTGTTTGATTGTTCATTTATAATTATTTGTGTATTTGTTTGGTTATTAGTTTATACTTATTTATGTTTATTTGTTTAATAATTTATTTTTAACTTTATTTATAATATCTGATCATGTCTGAGAGCACATTCACAGTTTGAAAGCTCAACATAACCCAAGTTGTAGTATTTTGAAAAGCGAGTGTCAGAGTGTCTCGTGTGAAAGATGCTGAAAGCTGAAAGCACACCTGATTTTGGCGGCATCTACAGCTAGACTTTGTTGCGTTTGAAGTATTGTGGAGAGAGGAGAGATTGATGGCTGATTTAGCGTCCTAAACCACTGAGTCTGACCCGGGACAGAGTTACTCTCACCCTCCCCGCAGGAGGAAATGGGGAGCAATCCATAAAGAAATAATAACAGAGCTGCAGAGCTTTTCCATCAGCCTGTTTAATGCTCTCAGAGGTGCAGAGACGGATCTTAGGATTAGTTTATGACGTTTGAGTTTGCACTGAATGCTTTGTGGTTCCCCCTCCTCCGCTTCTAGACGCTAGTCATTCCTGTATTAACACTTATCTTTTATATTTTACAAAATAATGGACATTTTTATATATATATTATTTATACTTGGATGATTTAAAAGTTTTTATTTAATTTTAAAATTTAAATTTATATATTTGTAAACAATTTTATATTAAATTTATTTATTTTAAAATGTATTAAATTATTTTTTATTTTATATTTATATCTTTTATTATTTTAAAAATATTTTAATATAAATGTATGCATTTTAAAATATTTATATTTAATTTAATTCATATGTATATTTTATATATGTATATATATATATATGTATATTATTGCAATATTTTAAACTTATATTTGTTTTAAAATATTTTTATATTAATTTAATTTATATTTTTATATTTCATATTAAACTGTTAAGAATAACGCCTAATCATGACAACATAATAGTGGACCAGAATTCATTTTAAAATATCAAGAGAGAAAAATAAATACAGGGCAAAGCAGGAAATGTGACACCAGATCACAGACTGAGCTCAGAGGTTGTGCCCTCAGTCGAGTCGAGCTGTAATTTAAGCGAATAGGCCCTTCAATCTCCCCAGATCCACCTTATTAAAGCAAATAAGCACAGCCAACATGTGCATTCAATTGCTGCCATTTTCCCCCATTAGATGAACAGGAGGAGAGGCTCGTGACAGGCCTCGTTTGGAGGCGTGGACGTGCATATTTTACAACACCAAACACTGGCCACGAGAACGCAGACGCTTTCATCCACAGCGACTCAGTGGACGTTTATGATTAAAAGCATTAGTGCGGGTGTTGATTTATGGGCTTGTGACTGCGTGTATGTGACTGTGCTTTCGTGAGCAAGGCTATTTGTATTTTTGAATGTATTTACTATAGCATAAAATATTCCGTTTAATGCTGTTTTGCTCATTTCTCTCTTTTTATTTTCTTTGCAACTAGTAAACACTTTCACTAGATCCCCACAGTTAAAGCAGTTAATTAGTGGAGTTTGCTAAGTTAAGAAGTAATAATCATTATTACTATTGCTAATATTTAAGGGTAATTTTGGAACAAGCTTCTAAGTATTAAACTTATAAGATAAAATAAAATACAAGTAAATAAACGTTAACTGAAGTAAAATAAAATATTAAAAAACTTTTTTCAAGCTGTTGCAAATGTAACATTGATGACGAATTTTAGGATTCATTTATGAGTCTGTTTGAGTTCACACTGAATGCTTTGTCATTTTTGTATTAAAGGGGTCATATGATGCGATTTCAAGTTTTCCTTTCTCTTTGGAGTGTTACAAGCTGTTCGTGAATAGATAAGATCCCTGAAGTTGCAAAGACTAAAGTCTCAAAACCAAAGAGATATTCTTTATCAAAGTTAAGACTCTGCCACGCCCCCCTAAAACGGCTCGTTCTAACACGCCCCACATGTTTGTTTAATTGAAAACAGATTGTAAACGGAGTGTATGTAATACTAAGCTATTTTCCACCCTTAAGTCCTGAAGAATATAAGACCTCATGAACAGTAACAAGAAAAAAATCTTGATTGTCCATTTTTCTTTTTGTTTGCTTGACAAGTAATTAAGAGTTTTAGTTAAGCTTCTAACATTTAAACAAACTGTTGGGATATTATCTTACTAATTTATTAAAGTAATTAATGACATTTTTTGGAGTACTATAGCAACCAGGGCTGCTATTCACAGTTTGTTGGCAGGAAAGAGGATGTTTGCTTGAGCAGGACTGAAGCTCATTAAAATCAATGTGAGAATGTGAGCTGAAATTACACACACTGATTAAACAGCTGTTGCCGCCACACACACACACACACACACAAACACACATACATATATTGAGCATGTGGCTGATCTGGGATCAGTGTGGACTGTCAGGGGTGAGACTGACCCGCTCTGTCCGGGGACTGCAGGGTATTGTGGGTAGGCTGAGCATGATGGCCCCCGTTTGCAGCGTCTACCTATAAACAGCAAATAAAACCGCATAACTGCACAGTGCATGACATGACAGATAACCCAAAATCAGTTGCTGGTTTTGAAATGAGGGTTTATGTATGCCACTATGTAGGCTATGTTCAGACAGAAATACTAGCATACTTTGTAGTGCACACTCAATACTCAATAAGATTTGTAATTTTTTATTTTTTAAATAGCCTGTGAAATGGGTGTGCATCATGCAAAGACACACAGTTCAAACACTGTAGCACTGATCTACTATACTGTCAACACACGACCTTATTACTAGCATGTTTAATGAACAAAATTCATTTTATTTTTTTAGTTTCCCTTTTATTATTCTTCTAATGCAGTTTTGTGTTTTAAACATCAAAACTTTTGGTCATCTGATTGACTGATGAGTGACAGAGTAAAAATGTTAATGTACAGTTGATATTATTTAATTATATTATTTTATTTAATTATATTAATTTTTTATTAATAATAATAATAATAATAATAATATCTTTACTGCTACTAATAGTTTATTGTAATTTATTATTATTATTATTATTATTGGCAAATTACCTAAATTCAAAATATTTTTACTTTGAACCAAATAATAAAAAGACAATATAATAATAATAATAATAATTAATTATAATTCTATTATTATTATTATTATTATCAACAGAAATGATCTAAACTGAAAATTATCATTTTTGCTTTAAACCAATAATAAAAAGACAATATAATAATAATAATTCATTATAATTCTATTAGTATTATTATTATCATCATCAATAGAAATGATCTAAACTGAAAATTTAAATTTTTACTTTGAACCTAATAAAAAATTATTATTGTTATTATTATTATTATTAGTAGTAGTATTATTATTAGTATTATTATTAGTATTGTTATCAACAGATATGATCCAAACTGAAAATTAAAATTTTTACTTTAAACCAATAATAAGTTATCATCATCATCATCATCAACAACAACAGCAACAACAAAATTGATCTAAGCTGAAAATTAACATTTTTACTTTGAACCAAATAATAAAAAGACATAATAATAATAATAATAATAATAATAATAATAATAAATTATAATTCTATTATTATTATTATCAACAGAAATTATCTAAACTGAAAATTAACTTTTTTACTTTAAACCAATAATAAGTTATTATTATTATTATTATTATTATCATCATCAACAACTACAACAACAACAAAATTTATCTAAACTGAAAATGAACATTTTTACTTTGAACATAATCATCATCAGAAATAATCTCAACTGCAAATGAACATTTTTACTTTGAATCAAACAAAAAACTAAAATATATTACTAATAATGATATAATTTTGCATTGTGGGATACAGTGTTCTGTTATATAATGCAACTTCTTGGGAAATATAGTCGATCATCTGGTTATTCCACACATGTAGTATGCATACTACAGACATTGTACAAGTAATATGGTAGTATGCTGCTCCAAGTATGCCTCACATTATCAAACTGTCAAATACATGACTCCTTCTGCATCTGAAGCAGTTAGTCGATCATAACAGAGGTCAGAATCAGCTGAGAGCGGCTGAAATAATGACGGACATCATAAGAAGGGTATATGATTGTGCTTTTATATTTGCTGTCGTTGAGCAGTGAAAGCAGCACGTCACAGTGAAGTAGTGTGGCTCTGTGCGAGCGGCTGCTGTCTTGATGTCTTGTCTTGTGTCTGGCGTGTTTGTCTGGAGAGGAGCTGCCAGTGGCTACTGACGATGTCTTATGGGTGCATTATGGGTAAAAAGCATAAGTCCCAATGTCTGTCTCTCAGGACTGAAACCACGCTAGTGAGCTGCCTATGTAGGCGGCATCTAAAAGCATTATAAGCACATTCTAAGTTGATTAAAAATACACTTATTTATTTGGTTAAAAGAAAAGCATGCCATAGAATAGAGGTACTAAAAACACACATTAATTGTTAATCCTGATTAGAAATGCACACAGTGTTTGTGTATTTTCTGCCTGTTATCTGTGTTTTTGCTTGAGAGGACGTGTCAGTCTCTGGTCTTCATTAAGGATCTGTTGTGTCGAGTGAAAGACAGCCTGTTCATATTAGCGCTCATTTCCTCTGACTGATCCCGTTCTCTCTCCTGATTGGCTGTTTGAGTGTGTTGGGGTCGTCTGATGGTCACTGATTGACTAAACTGATTTTGACATCGACTTCAGTCTGCTGCAGGATTTACGCTGCCAGTTATGTTGACAGACTCGTAAGAAATACCACATGAAACCATTTCTACCGTATGACGATAATCGAGACCCATTGACGCCTAAAGAGTCACATTATAGTCAAGAAAGTGTCCTTTTAAGATTTTGATGCAACAGTATCGTGAATGTGGGAAAATGTGGCGTGGTGTTGATGTCTATTACATGCAGCCGTGCTGATATACAGCCATATTGCATTGCTACTCGTGTGATATCGCTCATATAACAAATTTTTTTACTTAGCTTCCGGCTTCACTACCGTTCGGACGTTCTTGCTTACTGCTCTGCGCTTTGCTCCCTATTTCTGTACTTTTCTTTGATTTTTCTAAGATTTTTACTTCAGCAGATCAGCACAGTGCTCAAACAACATATTTTTGGCACAAACACTAAAACAAAAAACTCTCTGGGACTGGAATAATACCACGAAAAAGAAGACTTTTACCTCCCACTGCCAGCAGCTTACATTCCGGAGAAGGGAAAACACAGCTGCCCACATTCAAACAGAAGACAAAGAAAATGCCTTCTGTTGAATCTACTTGCTGCATGAACTACTGCAAACTTCTACAAAGGATCGCGGTTCTTGAAACAAAGTTACTTGCAGGACTTCCAAAACAGGCAGAACACTCAGCAGACCATTGTCACGGACCCCCTCAGCATACAGCCGGTGAGTCCCATGAACCTAGTCAATCTAAACAGTTTATACCAAGTGTAGAGGAACAAGCCGAAACTGATTGTCACACTAATCGATGGCACAAACAGGGAGCGAGACCCAAAGGCACTCGAGACATCAGATTGTCACGAGTTTCTCGTATTGCTGCCGTAGCATCCTCTACCCCAGATATGGCTATGACAAGGCTTGTGAACACTGGTATTCTACCACCCCCTATGAAATGTGCTATACAAATAAACTTGCCTTGCCTTGCCTTGCCTTAGTATACTGAAAGTTGACTGAATTATTAGAAAACTGAAAATACCCCCAAAAATGTATTAACATTGCTCAGTGCAGACTTATGTTTTTTCTTACCATTATTATTAATAAAGGTGTTTCTTTGTGCTGATATTTCTGTTTGACATGGTGAATAACTGAACTCGTGCTATTGTAATATTGTTTCTGTTTCTGTAGGACAAGAAGCTGCGCCTCTTCGACCCGCGGGCCCAGCCGTCAGCGGTCCAGGTACTGTTCAGGCATCTTCTGCTCAATCTGTGCGTACTGAACCGTGAATGTCGTACCGAATGCTTCGATATTATATTGAGAATTGTGACATCTCTATTAAATGTCCTAATTGAACTATGGCCTAATCCTGGCTTAACCTAAGCCCAGTCTGTGAAACCAGGCCTTGATCTATTTAATGCATCCTTGCTGAATAAAAGTATTAATTTCTTTAAAAAATATATACTTTTGAACAGTGCAACTCCATCTGTAACACTTTATTAGTTGCTCAATTTACTTTTTTTTTTGCTCCATTTGCCCCTCAGGTTTCATATTCTAATCTTTAGCCAATCAGAGCAGGCCATTACTTCAGGGACTCCTTCTGATTGGTTTATTTGTTTCATTCATTCACTCTGCTGTTTCTCATGAGCTGGTGAAGCCATGGGAACCCACTGAACCCTGGGAAACACTACAGCCCGATGCCCGTATGAACGTGACCGTGTCTTTGACTGTCGAAACCCGCTGAGCGTCTGTTTGAGAGCCAATCAATCCCACCGGTTTCAGCAGGGACGAGGAAGTTCGGGTCAGATCAGACCAAACATTCCCACAGTCCTCGTCAGGGCAGAGCGGTGACCTCGGCGGAGGTTTCTCTGTGTGTTCGTGGTGTCTTCTGAAGGTAAATAAAGCTCTGATGAATCATTAGGATTAGATATTACCCACGCTGCTCTCTGAGCAAACAGCCGGTAGCTCTGACACTTTACTGAGGAGATTAGCGTCTATCAGATGTCTGAGGCCTGGCGTGTGATCTGTTCCTGGATTCGTTCCCAGTCGGGCTCTTCAGTTGTTAGGCTATGTGCTGGTGTGATGTCAGACTGGAGTTTCTGATGTGTGTCCTGTTCGGAGCGATTCCTCTACACCTGCTGTCTTCTCATGTGATCTGATCTCAAGTGTAGTGTGTATGATTTGTGCTGAGGCGTGTTAATGTTAATGTCAAGCTGACTTTTTCAGAAGGTTGTTTTTTTTTGTAAATTTTCTTGAAGAATTTTTATTATAAAGATACTGATGGTGGAATTTTAATTTTCTCTTTAATTGCCTTTTCAGTATTCATTCATTCATTCATTCATTCATTTTTGTTTGTTTGTTCGTTCATCATTCAATTTGTTTTAAGTTATTATAAATCTTATTTATTTATTTAATTCTCTTGATGAAAATTGTTTTTTTTTTCACCAAACAATTTTAATTTTCCCTTTAATTCCTCTTTCAGTATTTCTTAATTTTTTGAAAAGCATTTTCTTGTTTTAAGCACAAACCTCAAAGTTTTGTTAGATTTATGATTCAAACAAGATAAAGATATTCTCTAAAGGCGTAAGCTAAAATAAATTATTTAAAAGGTGTAAAATAAAATTACTTCAGAACAGTTCTTTGAAAACAAATCCTAATGTCCTGCACTGTAAAAAAAATATATATATTTTTGCTTCTTGTTCTTATTAAACACTTGCCTTAAAAAGTCAGTATACAATCAAAAATATGTACTTATTCACTTTGTTAATTTTACTTATTTAAGTGGATTTTACTTGAAAATTGTGCAAAAACCTTTTTTTACTTTTGCTTTGCAAAATACTGGATATTTTTTAATTTTTTGGAAGTATAACTAGTTTTACTCTGGTGGATTGTAAAAAAAAGTAAGGGATAATAATTCTGAAACTTGCAAATGCAAGAGATGAAAAGTCTGGTTTAGCATCTTTCTCTCTCTCTCTCAAGCCCTCTAATCTCTCACATTAAGTCTGATTCCTGACAGACCAGCTTGTTTTGTGACCACATCCAGCTGGCACCGCAAGAGTGGCGTGTGCGCCCACCACATTCACTCCAGCGCCTTAAACGAGCCGTCACGGGCCAGCCCTAACAAAACACAGGCTGACAGGCCTTCCAGTCGCCCCACACCGAAGCTCTGTTTACTCACAAAACTGTAAAAGGCCACAGCCACGCTCCTTTGCTGACAGAAACCCGTCCTCTCGACGGCTCTTCCGCAGCACTGATGCACAGGCCACAACGTAAACAGAGGCGCTTGAGACGCGTCTGAAAGCTGCCGTGTTGTTTATAGACATGAGCTCGAGTAGAAAGCAGCCGTTTGTCATCGCAGAGCTCATAAAACAATGCTTTCATGCGCCGGGTGATGAAAACCGTCCATTTATGGAGTGACCGCGTTTCTTCGACAGATCGTCTGATGTAGACAGGTGGGGTAAAAATAGAGGCTAATTGTACGTGGTATTTACGGGAAGAGGCGAAAAAACTGTGTAATTTGCGCTTTTGGCTGGCACGAGTGTGATCTGTAATCAGCACGTGGCTGTATTTCGGTAGCTGGCACGACTGTGTGTGTGTGTGTGTGTGCTCAAAACTGTGGTTTCAAGAGCCGCTCGCTTTGAGATATCCTGCTGCGTCTTGATTTTTATATGATAAATGCATATTTAAGGGCCAAAAACTCGCACCAAACCGCTCGAAGCTCAGACTACACTGAAAAAAAAAAAAGTGTTTTTAGACTCTGGCTTGTGGTTTGGTGCGTCTTAGACCTCCTCATCATCATGAGGTGTAACGATCCATTTTTAGTTATGTTTATGTTTTCGATTTAATACAGAATATAATAAACAAGGTACAAGCTATATAAACAGCATTTCTGACATGCTGATTTCCGGGGAAAATTATATTGACTTTAATTTATTATTTATAGTATTTTTACAAAATATTTGTTCATTCATTCTTTCATTCATTTTTAAAAATTTGTTTTTGTTAAAAGTGTTTAGTATTTTTATTTTTATGTATAATATTTTATCCATTTTTATTTATTTATTTGAATACATTTGTCAAGTTAATATTACACTGTTTATTTTTTATTTTAATTTATTTATATTTTAGATTTAAACCGTTAGTAAAGGTAAAATCATAAGTATTTGCATATTTATTTACTTATTTAATTGTATTTATTTGTTTTATTTAAATGAAATCATTCATAAGTAAACATTTTATTTATTTGTGTTTTATTTTATTCATTTTATTAATACAGTATATTTGTTAAATATCACAATACATCACAATATATCAAAATTACGTTTAATTTGATTAATTTCATATTATTATTTTATTTTAGATTTAATTTAAATAAATAATTCATAAGTAAACATTTATTTATTTATCTTTATTCATTTTATATATTCATTTATTAATACATTTTTCAAATAAAAATCACAATATGTATTTACTCTTCAATTTATTTATTCTTTTGATTTTATTGTATTTTTTATTTTAACAATTATTCAAGTGAAAATCATTTATTTACTTATTTACTTATGTTTTATTCGTTTTTTTTAGATAATAAGTAAACTTTTTTTGGGTTCATTTTATTTATTAATTTGTCTAAAATCACAATTGCAGTACAGGTAAAATTCTTCAGGGAACAGATGTTAAAAATACGCTGTTTTGCACTTATAGCCATAACGGCAAAGTTATTTTGAATCTTTAGCGAGGGGAAACAGGAAAGGGAATATTTTCTGGACGCGGGGGCCAGATTTCTCTCGATTTGGTCTTCGGCTTTTGCTGCTTTTTGTGAAATCCGAGAGGCTTTGGAACGGAGAGGGAAAAAACGCCCAGCGTTGAGAGCAGACTGAGCGACTGCAGGGGTTTGTGGGAGACGCACACGTTCACAGACGCTTCACTGAAGAAGGAACGAGTACCCTGGGTGTATATTAGTCCCGCGGGTTAAGCTTACACCAGAATATGCTGAAAACAAGCAGCGTATGCTTCAGTAGAAGTATAATGGAAACTCATAGAACATAATTCACAACAGATAATAGGAGAAGTGGCATTGAATCTAGATAAAGTATAACGGAAAGTACTTTTATCCTGTTTTTCATGCTGGTTCTTATAATTTAATATAACCTGGGTGTCCCGACGGGACCTTTAGATATGAGCCTCTCTAGAGAAGATGATGGACGGCTGCATCTTCTGATTAAAGATGGCAAAGTACTGTAGGTGTGTGGTGTGCCATGAGAGCGTTTGCTAGGGGTTTATTGCCATATGTCAAGCTAAACTTTATTATACAGCCTATAGTGATGAAAGATTTTTAATGTCTCTGAAAGAAGTCTCTTCTGCTTACCACGGTTGCATTTATTTGATAAAAAATGCAGTAAAATACAGTAATATTGTGAAATATTATTACAATTTAAAATGACTGTTTTCTATTGTAATAGATTGTAAAATGTAATTTATTTCTGTGATGCAAAGCTGAATTTTCAGCATCATTACTCCAGTCTTCAGTGTCACATGATCCTTCAGAAATGAAGATTCGCTGCTCAAGAAATATTTCTGATTATTATCAGTAGAGCCCTACCGATATGGTTTTTTTGGGGCCGATACCGATACCGAAATTAGGGAGTAAAAAAAGGCCGATATCGATATATCGGCCGATATTCTTTGTGTATATTATAGTACAGTACCAGTCAAAAGTTTGGACACTTTCCCATTCGTGTGTCCAAACATCTGACTAGTACTATATTTATAATACAGTATATACATACAATATAAATTCACGTCTCGCACACTTTAATGCCCTTTGATTGTAATGTGTACGTTCCCTTGGAATGTGAAGTCCACTTCGCAGGGCACTTGCGGTCGAATAAGACCACGCTTGAATGCTGCTGCCTGAACAAGTCCTTACTGAAGTGAAAGTGTTGACTGGTGTCACTATCTTGCGAACGCGCCGGCGGATCTCCACCAAATTTGGGAATCTCTTCAGCTCGAGGTTCCTCGAGCTGAAGGGATCCCCCGAATTTGGTGCGGATTCGCTGCGCCGTTACGGAGATATGGCCGTTCAAAGTTTCAGTGGTTTTCCATAGACTTAAGCTTTAAAGCATTTAATCCTGTTCGCCAGTAGCAAACAATACAGCGCTCTGCGGGACAAACGACTACTACTACTAATTACACAATTTCAAGCATTTTATCTGCGTTATATGTTCTGTAAAAAAAATTTCATA